TAAAATAAATAAATAATAACAACAAAGGTCAATCAAATGGACCAATACGGCAAGGTGGGGATGGTCCACTTGGTAAAGTAATTCCGTTGGGCTTCTCTCTTTGCCTTCAGACAATAATTCTAATGACAAAAGAACCAAACGGGACAGGCGCCAAAAAAAAACAAACAAAAAAACCCAACAAAACAGTTAAATGCAGCTGCATGCCGAGAAGGGTCCTATGCACATACTTTAGCAGTGCCAAGCTGAATTTACCCTTTGTTGGACTAGTCACAGTTGGCCAAAGGTTTCTTTCTGATCCTTATTGTTACATATTCAAAAAGTATTGATCAACATATGTTCATACAACAAGTGGCACAACTTTTTCATTGTTATAGTGGGAGATATATATCACCTAAATATATGGTCCGTGTGATTTGAACATGCAGGTTAAATGCTTAACACAGTGACTTCACTATAAAAACACTTCATTGTGAGTATGCATAGTTTGCATTAGTAGATATAATTACATACAATTTATGAGAGTAACTATGATTACATGTCTAGTGTATACTAGAGATGGCACGATGCCACTTTTTTATGTCCGATACCGATATCATAAATTTGGATATCTGCCGATACCGATATGAATCCGATATAGTGTGTTTTTTAATCAATAAAACTTTTTTTAATATATTGCTGCATTTTGCCTAAGTTCATACTCAAGTTTAAAAAACAACAACAACACTAAAGCTATTCTGTTATACCTGTATACAAAAGAAATATTTCATAGTTCAGAAATACTGATCGATCTAATAAACTTAAACCTACACCATCCTCCCTATTCTGTTATTTTAAAGAGTTCTTAGCTCAAATATTAAGCAACCTAACTAATAGGGTTTCAAATCCCAGCAACAAAAAAAAAAAATAGGGAACCACCCCTCACGCTCCACCTCATGATGCTTAATCGACGTAATCAACTTTAATTTGATGCAGTGTGAAAAAAAAATGCACAGAAATACAGGAAAAAGTACAATAGCTTACTAGGGTATATTACTTACTTAACAGTTACTATATACAGTAATGGACTTCTATTAATTTTACATCAAATTAAAACTTTGGGTGTAAGATTCAGATAATTATTTAATAAAAGCTAGACATTTTAAATGAGAATAAGAAAGAAAAGTATGTCTTTGTGCCCCCCTTTTCCCTGTTCATGCCCTATCGGCCCCCCTGGCTAAACCGTGCTAGATCCGCCCCTGCACAGTTACGTCAGCTACGTAGAAAAAGATCCTGGTGTAGAAAGTAATATTAAATAAATTCTAACAACAGCTTATCATGTCTTTCTGGTGCAAAGTGGGCCAAAAACAAACAAGAGAGACGGACTCGCGGCAGAAAAGCCGATCAGCTGATCATTAAGCAGTTTCACGATTGAAGTAGCAGCAGGAGAGGGAGAGAGAGAGAGAAGAGGCAGTCGCTCCATATATCGGTTGTTAAGCTTAACGTGGGAATGCTTTACAAACATTCAGAGATGAACTTAAACACTTGCTTTACTTCTCTCGGGGATAACTTTCTCGGAGATGAAATGCCGGATTGGTAGCGAGGCTCTAAATGCTAAACCAGACCGCCGACAAGTCTCGCACGCCACAGCTGCTCTATCACGTGATGCATACTGCTCCAGCGTGCTAAGGTTAGAGGCGAGTTACGGCGTGTCGCAAGTTTTGTGAGGCGCTTTCATGACATATAATGGATTGGATTACATTTTTTATTTCTCTCCGATATCCAATCCAGTAATTTAGGTTAGTATCGGACCAATACGTAATATTGGATCGGTCCATCTCTAGTGTATACAGTTATATATGTCATAATAAAATCCACAACATTATCACTTTTAAAAAAGCTATAAGTATAAATGATTTTACAGAAAATTTTTAAAAGTTAAGAGTTGTTTTTTTTTCTTTTTTTCCCCCCTTTAGGATTTCTTCTTACAACAATCCAAAAGACATGAATATTAATACTAAGAACAGACGACGTCCTGCCAGGAAGAGGTAATCTGTGTCTAAATGTTGTCTCACACTCATTTTTATGTGCATATAAGCTTTTTCTTTTATTCCCTAGTTCACTCTAATTTGTTCTCTCCAGTTCCCTGTTAATAAGCCAACTGCCGAGAACAGCCTTATTCTTCTCAGAATATTTCTGACCAGCATTTCAATGGGATGATTTAAAGATTTAAAGAACTAATGTTGAACTTATGCCTGTATAAACTTCTTGATGTTTTTTTTTTTATTTTCTTTATTCAATTGTAATAATTCATATATTTTTTCCTTTATTTTTGAAGAAGGTTCCAGGAAAATTTGCTTAATTTGGAAATAATGGGATAATATTAAATGGTCTTTTTAATTTAACCACAATCCAGTTTTTTTTTATAGCGCCGAATCTCAACAGCTGCCTGAAGGTGCTGAAATAAATGTTTTTAACCAGACTCAGGACTTGTACGCTCACAAATATCTGATTGTAAAAGAATTTGCTTAGAGTTTGACTTAAATCAGCACTGTGTATATTTTTAATTTATTCAGTGTGTGAGCTTTCACTGAATTTAACAGTCTGGCCCTGTGGGGAAAAATAATAATGCAGCCCATCCCTACACTGGAGCATGAAATGTAAACAGTCTGTAGTTGAAAAAAGATAATTTCCTCCTCTTAGAGTAATGCTTTGGAAAATTTGCAGCGTCCAGCTGTTTGGGGGAATTACAGGCTGTAACCACAAATCTGAGTCTGTAGTAAGACCAAGTGTTTTTGAGGCTCCTCAGGCAGCCTGTAGTGGCAGATTGCTCTTTGCTGCCAGCCTTGGCTTGTTAAACGTGTGCTCATTTTGATAAGGAGCCATTGGTCCAATACCTGGCATTTTTCTCTGTCTGATCTCATTAAAGACTACAAAGAAAGAATGTAATACTCTTACTAAGAAAAGTGCCCCCTGTGCAAATAGTTGAGATAGCTGGTTTGCACTTTGTTAGCACTAGACACACTCTTTCCTGGTGTAATAGACCCCAGCCTTATATATCAGGGCTCTAGAATAACTTTTTGACATGGACGCGCCTAAGATTTAGGCGCACTGGCGCACTCAAATTTTTCAACCGCATCGCTTAACACCGCAGTTTTACATGTGCACTTTCTTTGGGGGGGGAAGTCCATACAGACAATATTCATTTCTAAAGTATTAACTAACAAACTTGTGCATAAAGTGCTTTGTCAATATTGAGAAATTTGTTAAACTTAATCATCATCTCGGCCTCGTCTGACGACCTGTTTGCTGCTGTCTGGGGAGGGGACACTTGGGCAGTGCATTTATTGCAGCATATAATGTGTTTTTTGGATACACTGCTGCTTTTTCAGCATTCAAAGATTGATGGCACCGTGTCAGAGCACTGGCTATGAATTTCAGACGGATCAGGCCTTAACAAAAATGTTCTCAATCGTTCTTTTCATCTTTTCTTATTACCCACAGCTACATCCACTTCTCTCAGGCCTAGGCTGCTCACTAGGGCTGGGTATCATCACTGATTTCTAATCCATTCGATTCCGGTTCTCAAAGTCCTGATTCGATTCAATTTAGCCTCAGACAGTCAGAAATATTATAATTCTGATCATTTATCAGTACTGATACATGTGAGACTTCATCAGAATTGTGAACATCACAGCAGATGCCTTTGTGTGAAAGTAACTGAGAATAAAACACAGAAAAACATGAA